GTTCTTGGTATTTATAGTTAATACTTAGTCACAGTCTTCTACAGCTACATCTGCTTTTGCTGTATTTTCATAGGATTAAAAAATACTAAAGTATAATGCTCAACTTTTTCATGTTTTGCTTTTCTGCAGATCGCTGCCAACTCCTGGGGAAAGTCATGGGGAGAAAATGGCTATTTCAGGATTCTTCGGGGAGTAAATGAGTCTGACATTGAAAAGCTGATTATCGCAGCTTGGGGCCAACTGACAAGTTCAGATGAACCATAACGTGTCATTAAATTTCCCGAAGACTATGCATTTAAGTACGGCTTTACGTTGGAGTTTGGCAAGGTGAAGTTCTTTGTGACATGGACTCTTTGTCGCTTTGCCCTGTTAATAAGATGCACCTGTTTCCTTGTTTCGCTGCAGTCCCTATGCTTCTTCCCTTTTATATTCCTTTCTATGAAAACACTAATAAAGCGCAGAAGAGTGGTTAAGTACTTTTAAAATCCCCAAGTTTTATTTCTTCTTCTCTCATGACAGCATGCTTTTCACCTTTCATTGTTCACAAACCATGTGCGGGAAAACACACAGTTTGTGCTTAAAAGTTGAGAGCCCTCATTTGTAGAAATGAGGTGGTTTTCCTCTTTGACCATTGAGGACTTCGGACAAAAACAAGTGAATTAGAAATGCAGCAATATGGTATCTTTGTAACTTTTTTTTTTTCGGTGAAATCTTTCTTACTTCAAACCTAAATTGTGTTTTGCTGAAAGTAGTGGACAGAGTTTATTAATTGCATCTCTCAGGAAGCTCACGTTTTGTTTCTTTTCATTTGCCTAAACGTAACTTGTAATCTGGCCACAAAAGAAAAAGTAACTCTCCATAGGGAATAACTGCACTTTACAGTACTGTGCAATAGTCCATGATATGGAGAAGATGGTAAGTGATGGAAAAACTTGGAGGCTAACCATAGCAGTACAGTCTTGACATACAGCCCTATTTTTGGAAGCCAGTATATTTTTTAATAGACTTTACTCTGTGTAAAGTCTATTAAAATCAGCTGGAGAACTGTATTTGGAAAGATAAGTCAGTTACGCCCTAAAACAGCAACATGATGCCGTGAGTCAGAAAGAATAAATATACTTTTATCACAACCATTTCACACTTCACTGCTTGAAATTCTAAAAAGTAAGCTAAATTGGCACTAATTTGCATCTAATTTTGCTTTTAGTTCTCTATAGTCAGAGAAACAAGAATTGCCTCATAATAATGGTTCGGAAAGGAGATAATATTTTAATAATTCACTGACATCTTAAATGGCACACTAATAAATGAAGAAGCAAAGCTGGTTAGTAAGTGAGCGGGGCCAGTTATAATTACGATGGTGGGTTCGGAATGGCCTGAATTTCGTGAACTCCATGGTGTTGATTTTACATTGAGGCTTTTCATATTGTGCCCAAAGACACCCTGATTAAAGCAGCCAGACAGGCTAAAAATGGCAGAGGCAGAACACGGGAAGGGGGAGTGTTGTTTTCTCCATCCGTTACTGTGGCTTTGTAGGAAGCAGCCTTTATTCACTTGACGCTTCCCTAGAAAATATACGTGAGGGTGGTTTACCTTGTCAGCATCGGCTGCCATGCCCCTAGAGAGTTGAGAAAGAATTTGTTTTGGAGATCACAGTGGCTCACACCTGTAATCCAAGCACTCTGGGAGGCCGAGACAGGTGGATTGCCTGAGCTCTGGAGTTAGAGACCAGCCTGAGCAACAGTGAGATCCCGTCTCTAAAAAATAGCTGGGGATTGTGACGGGCACCTGCAGCCCAGCTACTCCGGAGGGTGAGGCAAGAGAATCACTTGAGCCCAAGAGTTTGAGATTGCTGTGAGCTGTGACTCCAGGACACTCTACCAAGGGTGACAAAGTGACACTCTAAGAAAAAAAGAAATAATTTGTTTTTTTCTATGTTTGGTTCCTCCAGAAGTAGCCCCTAAGATATGAGAGTGCAAATTTGCTTGGGCCATGACAGGAACACTGACAAAGGAGTAGCAAGTGATACAAGGTATGAATGGCAGAATAAGGAAGCATAATAATAAAAGAACACTCAGCAAAGAAAGGATAAAACACTGTGAATATAATTTAATCTACCTGGTTACTATTTACCAGTTCCTTTGCCTTGCTCTAGCCTCAGAGCGAGCCACTATCTTGAATTGTGTGCTTATCATTTTAAATAATTTTATTACACATTTATAGTACCTAGAAAATATATTGTTTAATTTTACTTTTGTAGTTGCTTCAAAATTGCAATCATACCGTGTACAGTCTTGGGCAACTTTCCAAGATCTATTCTTGTTATTACCTGTAACTGTAATTCACTTGTTATTATAGTTCAAATAGTCCGTGTCAATGAACACTTAGCTCATTTCTAGATTGATTTGCTATTAGGAACAATTCTGTCCTGAACATTCATGCACGTGTCTCTTGGCGTGGGAATGCGTTTCTCCAGTGAAGTGGTTCTCAGAGCGTGGCTCGGAAGTGAGAAGCATTGAAGCCACGTAGGAGTTGTTAGATTCACCCGGATTCACAGGTCACACCTGCCCTCCTGACTCAGAATCTCTGAGGAGCATCCTGAAAGCTTTAATAAGTTTGCCAGGTGATTACAATGCATGTTAACATTTGAGAATCGCTACTTCATATTATATATATGTTTATATAAATTTATATGATATATATGAATATAATAAAATTATCAAACTAAGGCATCTGGTTTAGTGTGTGAAATAATGATAGACTGCTAGCCAAAAACAATTGTGCTTCATATGCTTTGAGTGGAGACAAAAAGAGAAGGAGAGAGACAGAGACAGAGCTAAGAAACCAACATTATTTGGGGTGATTTTATTGGACATGCCCTTTGTAATATGCTATTTTCATTTAATAATCCCAAATTTTCTATATCAACAAATGTTTATTTTATACCCAGTTCATATTTAAATCTCCTTTACCATCCCAAATATGTTCTTTATTTTATATTTTTGACCATTTTTATCCTATAATATTTATACATATTTATGGGATACATGTGATATTTTGTTACATGCATAGAATGTGTATTGTTCGAGTCAGGATATTTAGGGTATCTGTCATCTTGAGTGTTTATTTATATGTGTTGGGAACATTTCAAGTTCTCTTTTGTAGCTATTTTGAGACATGCAATATGTTAACTCTAGTCATCTTACTCTGCTATTGAACATTATAACTCATTCTTTCTATGTAACTATTTGTGGCCCTTAACTAACTTTTTTTTCCCTGACCTCCCACCCCACATGCCCTTCCCGGCCTCTGGTATCTATTATTCCACTCTCTAACTCTATCAGATCAAATTTTTATCTCCAAAATATGAATGAGAAGATGTAATATTTGTCTTTCTGTGCCCGGCTTACTTAATATAATGACCTTTAGTTTCATCCTGTGGATGCAAATGACATAATTTCATTTTTTTAATGACTAAATAGTTGTCCATTCTGTATATATACCATATTTTCTTTATCCATGCATTTGCTGCAGGACACCTAACCTGATTCTGCACCTAAATAAGGGTGTGTGGTTTTCCCTTTTATATAATGATTCCTTTGGGGGGCTACATAGCCAGTAAAGGTAATGTTGGATCATATGGCACTTTTATTTTTAGTTTTTGGAGGGATTTCTATGCTGTTTTCCACTTACTAATTTACACTCTCATCAATGGAATGTGTAATGGTCTATACAAGTTCCCTTTTCTCCGTATCCTTACTAGCACCATTGGTATTTTTTGTCTTTTTCATAATACCCATATCTACTGGGGTGTGGTGACATTTCACTGTGGTTTTGATTTGCATTCCTCTGATGATTAGTGATGTTGAACCCCTTTCCCACATTATCTGTTGGCCAGTTGTATGTCTTCTTTTGAGGAATGACTAATCATGTCCTTTGCCTATTTTTTAATAATTTTTTTAAATTTTTGAATTGTTTGAGTTTCTTACATGTTCTGGATATTAATTCTTTGTTGAATAAAAGATTCGTGAATATGTTCCGTGGGTTGTCTGTAGTTTCCTTTGCGGTGCAGGAACTGTTTAGTTTACTATAGTCCCATTTGTCTGCTTTTGTTTTTGTTGCCTGTGCTTTTAAGGCTCTTCACCATAATCTTTACCTAAACCAATGTCTTAGTGTGTCCCCTATGTTTTCTCCTAGTAATTTCAGTTCTTAGTTTATATCTGTAAAACATCTTGAGTTGATTTTTGCATGTGGTGAGATATAGGGTCCAGTTTTATTCTTCTGCATATGGATATAGAATTTTCTCAGCACCATTTATTAAAGAGAGTGTCTTTTTACCAATGCATTTTTTTTTTTCTGAGACAGAGTCTCACTATGTTACCCACAATACAGTGCTGCGGCGTCACAGCTCACAGCAACCTCAAACTCTTGGGCTTAAGTGATTCTCTTGTCTCAACCTCCCAAGTAGCTGGGACTACAGGCATCTGCCACGATGCCCTGCTATTTTTTGTTGCAGTTGTCATTGTAGTTTAGCTGGCCCAGGCTGATTTCGAACACACTAGCTTTGGTGCATGTAGCTGGCACTGTAACCACTGTGCTACAGGCATTGAGCCACCAATACATGTTTTTAAAGAGTTTGTCAAAAATCAGTTGGCTAAAAATACATTGATTTATTTCTGGATTCCCTTTTCCATTTCATTGGTCTATGTGTCTGTTTTTATGTCAATACTATGCTGTTTTTCTTACTATAGCTTTGTAGTATATTTTGAAGTCGGCTCTGTTCTTTTTTCTCAGGATTACTTTGGCTATTTAGGCTCTTCTTTGGTTCCATACAAATCTTATAATTTTTTCAGTATCAGTGAAAAATGATATTAGTGTTTGGATAGGGATTGCATTGAATTTGCAGATTGTTGTGAGCAGTATGCTCATTTAAATTATATTAATTCTTCTAATCTATGAGCAGAAAAGGTCTTTTTATTTATGTCTTTTCAAATTTCTTTTTTCAGTATTTTATAGTTTTCCTCATAGAGATGCTTTACCTCCTTGGTTAAATTTGTTCCTAGGTACTTTATTTTTCCTGGTAGCTAACACCAGTTCTCTTCAAATTCCAGATATAGGCAAATATCCCTGGTGAACACAGATGTAAAAATCCTTGACAAAATACTAGCAAACCCCAACCAACAACACTTCAAAAAGATAATACATTATATTGAGAGGGATTTTTTCCAAGAGATTCTAGGATGGTTCCACATACACAAAATAAT